CAGGTCCCTTCCAACCGAGGCCATTCTATGAAATTTGGACCGGGTAGTTGTTGAGAAGGAGAGCCTCAGCTACGATGTCTTGACAGATCTTTGTGTATTAAATTGAGCTCTGCTAAAGATTTCTGGGAGGAAATCCATTTCAGCTCTACTTGCCTTAAATTGAATATCGTGTTCCATCAGGCCAACAGTGCAAGAGGATGGTGGCGATGTTATTTATAAAGGCTTCGAGGATGGGATCGTGCAGCTGAAGTTGCAGGGTTCGTGCACCAGCTGTCCCAGTTCCATCATCACCCTGAAGAACGGGATCCAGAATATGCTCCAGTTCTACATCCCTGAAGTCGAAGGTGTGGAACAGGTGGGTTGGCAAGAGAGAATAGCTGCTTCCTACCTCTTAAATGGAAAAGAAGGTCCCTTTCCAGTGTGGAAGCAAAAATACAGGACGTAGAGATGCGGTTTTTGCAAGTCATATCTTTGCAAAAGAGAGAGAACTGCAGCGTGCTCTGCAAACACGCTGGGGACTGCCTGCCTGGGAAGCGGCTTCACGGAACACGACCTGGGTCCTGGCAGATGCCGAGTTGAACCCGGGCCAGCAGTGCTGTCGTGGCAGCGGTGGCTGATGACATCCTGGGCTGTGCCCAGGGGAGCGTTGCCAGCAGGTCGAGGGAGGTGATCCCTCCTGGGACTCTCTCCAGCACACCCACATCCCTCTTCTACGGAGGAGCCGGCAGCTGGACACGCTGGGTTTGCCAGTGATTGTTGCCTCTGTGCTTTGTGTGATCGGGAGGGACGAGCTTTTGTCCCCTAAACCACAGATTCTTCTGCTTTCTTGTTAAAAACCTGATACACCGCAGTGATTTTTCTAGCAGCCTCTGTGGTAACGTGACCAGCTCCTGTTATTTCAGTCACATTTCCTCCTGGCGTTTTTGATGGCAAGGTTTTCTTCCCTTCTTCACGTGCCCATTGTTGTTCAGCAGTGCGTGGGAGCTGCTGTTCTCCTTGGGCCCGGCAAGGCTCTCACATAATAAATTTTCTCTGCAATCCTACAGAACTGAGAGTTTAAACTGAGCTACTTCTGAATTTGATTTCAGGTTGTTGACGATGATGACGACGTGGAGAAAGAAGCAAATTCTACTTGAGCTTGCATCATCTACGGCCAAACAAGTATTTACCTCTTGGTGTACGTAAACTATCTTTGTGCTGAGGAGCAGCCAAATTTGCCTTTCTATTCACTTACCTGTGAAAACATATCATCGTTGTCCACTAATTTATTAAATGCCCTGCATTCAGAAAAGAATCGTTTTGTTCTACTTTGTACTGTCTTAAGAAAGAAATGGTGGGCTTTATGGTGACGTGTCTCTCTGTTGTTCTTTTTTTCAGTCTTGAATTTTTTGTATGAAAGAGAAGGCAGAAGTAAAGTTTCTTGACTGCTTCTGTGCACTAGAAATACTAAATATTTATTACCCCCAAACCTCCTGATGGGGCTTTCAGGACTATCTGCACTTGCTCTGTAGCTGGGAAATTCAGGCGTGTTAATTTTATCAGGTCTTGTTAAAAAGCTTCTGATCCATATCATGGTGAAGAATAACCCGTGACTTCAGCTGTTTGGTTTAGAAGATGTAATATTGGCATCACCTGTGCAAAGTTACTTACTTGCTCACTACCACTGTGCAAACAAGAGCAACACAAACAAAAAATGGGAGTTGTGTATTGTAAAAATCCTATCCTTTAAATGTTAGAAGGTGATCCTTATCAGCTTCAGTAAGTAGAGAGGCTAATTAGCTTATTTAGAAGTAAAATTGTTCAGCCACCATTAGTGGTCTGTTTAAACTTGCAGAAGATGATTTCTCAGCGTTACACTCCAACGTCAAGATGAATACGCGGCGCTTAAGGGCACAAATTACATTTGTAGGGTAGCAAAGAAAATTAATGTGTTTACCTCTGCCGTATCCTGTTTGCTCCTTCTGCGGTGCCAGAGATCACAGCGTGCGTGTAACTTGGCTGCCCTGGCTGAGCGAGGGAAGACGTGGCAGAGCAGAACGCGTTCCAGCTTTGGAGACCGCGGGAAGAGAAACATTTATTGTTCCCAGACTGGAACACGTAAATCAGCCTTTACAAGGGCTTCTGTTTACTTGTGCGTGTAGGACTTAATTTCTTCCTGGTCCCTAGCTTTAGCAGGTGGTTTTGCGAATGGAGGTGCTGTTTCTTCTTCGTGCTGCCACGGTCCAGCTGAGTTTGCAGTCGTTATTTGCTCGTGGTTATAATCGTACTCCCCGCGGGCGAGGATTTGACAGCCTCCGGTGTGTTCCCCCCTCGCTCCTTGCCAGCGTAATTCCACCGAGTCCCTAAGCAGGATCCGTGAAGCCACTGGAGGCTTTTCTATGTAGCGTGCAGGCCGCACATGAGAGCCATAAACTTTGTGTTACTTGTTAGAAATTTGAAAATAAATATTTTAGCAAAATATTTCTTCAGCTTTCATGGAGAGCAATAACCTAAAGTCATGTAAATTACCCACTCAGGGTCTGAAAATTACCATGTTTCCTCTATCCGATTATGAAGTACTCAGTGCCTGATCTTACAAGTATGTCTGACAAAATTCCCCTCGAGGTAGGCTCAGACTACCCAAAAGAGAGCTTGTGCAAACGTCATCACTGTGTTCTTCATCAGCAAACCACAGAACGGCAAGTGATGTTCCTGCTTTCTCAAAAACAGCTTCTAGGCCTAATTTGTCAATTTAATGCACTACGTAAGCCCAAAGTTAAATAGCCGAGTGGCTGTTTCGTGTTAAATAAAAGGTACCTCTTCAAGATGTGGGGTTTATTCTTCAGTTAAGCGGTGCTAATCTCTTCCAAGTACAGTAAGGACGCAGTTCTGCCGCTCTCTTGTTTTTAACAGGGGTTTGATTTGTACAAATAGGACCAAACTGAGCCTGCGTGCACGCTGAGGCTGAAGATTGAGCATCTTGTGACCTTGAGACTGAAGAGATTCTGTGTCCAGCGTGTATCCTGGGTGCCCTCGAGCTCCATCGCGGAGACAGAAGTGCGTCAGGCTCGCATCCCATCCTCTTTTCTCCGTTCCGTCCCACCGCTGAGCAAGCTCTCGAGGGCCGTGGTTGCATTTCTGCTGCAACGTTTCTCCAACTCCAGAGGAATGAAAGCAGAGGGAGCGGGTTAAGTGCTGGTTCTGACTTGGGAAACAAACCGCAACTCATCTGTTTTTCTTAGGATTAACCCTAAACTCTAATCCTACGACAGCCCAACGTGGTAAAATCATCACGAGGCGGCTCTGCGTGGCTGGCGTCCGTGGCCGTGGTTGCATTTCTGCTGCAACGTTTCTCCAACTCCAGAGGAATGAAAGCAGAGGGAGCGGGTTAAGTGCTGGTTCTGACTTGGGAAACAAACCGCAACTCATCTGTTTTTCTTAGGATTAACCCTAAACTCTAATCCTACGACAGCCCAACGTGGTAAAATCATCACGAGGCGGCTCTGCGTGGCTGGCGTCCGTGGCAGAGGGGTCTGTCCTGGGAGGTTCCTGCGGCTCTTTTTTTAATGGGAGCTCTTCAGCTGGGTGCTGGGAAGCTGTGTCGTACCCTAACGCTCGGGTCAGCGAGGATTTCTGACTGCAAAGTTTCTCTTGTCGATTGCAGTTAGTCACTAAGTTTAAAATAGTAACGACTGCTTGAAGTTACTGGGGTATTTTCCAATGAAAAAAAAGGACTTTAGGTAAGCGCAGAATTACAGTCTGCCGTTTGCCCGTTGATGTTTTCACCCATGTGAGACAGAAAACACCCCAAATCCATTTGTGTTCCCTCAGCCCTGTTCTAGCGCGCTCTTTTGCAGGAAAAGGTGATTACAGGTCTCTAAATTCCTGTCGTCTTGAACCTGCCTGCAGGTGGACGTGTGCTTTTTGTCAGGATGGGACTCATTCCCTGCTTCGAGGAGAAATCAGCCTGTCCGTCTAGAAGGCAGCCTCCTGGTAACGCGGGAGGGCGCGGTGTGAACAGCCGTAGTAGGAGGAAATAACTCACATTACCTGATGTTTAATATTCAAAATGGGAATCACAAAACCTGCTCTTTTCCAGGAGGCGACACTTTGTAATCTTATCTAAATTTCAGGACTACAGCCGGAACATTTCAAGTGAAGTGTTGAGCTTAGAGGAGAAGGATGTGAGTATTTTCTTCCCAACTGCGATGACCCCTTTTTGTTAATTTTCTTAAAGGCTCGTGAGAGATGGTTTGGGGAACTCTTCTCAACGTTTCTCCATTCACTCATAAGTTGTACCTGAACCTTTACAGCAAACCTTGGAATAAAGTAACGAGTTACACGGGGAGTAAATAGGGGGTGAAAAAAAAATCAGTAGCCACTTCAAGACCAACACACGGAGCTAAATTTCTGTGCAGGGTGCCTCTCCCAGGGGCTGGTGGGTCCCATTTCATCCAGGAAATCCTCTTCTGCCGCCACAGGGCCCTGGGCTCCCGAATGAACAGTGGAGCGGGGCTTTTAAACAATCTTTCTGTGTTTTTAGTGTGGAAGTGAAAGAATTGCCCTTCCAAAGAGTTCCCCAGCTTCTCGCAGCCCTTGGGGGCCGGAACCGGCCGTGTGGATCGCGCCCTCCTCCCGCTTTACTTCACCGGTTCCGTCTTAATCATTTCTGTATCCCGCCTGATTTCTGTATCCC